TCTCAGGCAATCCTCACTGCATCATATCTGATAAACCGAATGCCATCTAAAGTCTTGGGAATGAAGACTCCATTTTTAGTTCTTTGCCCTCATCTCCCTGTTTTTTCTCTTCCACCAAGGGTCTTTGGGTGTGTATGTTTCATACATGTCAAACCAAGAAAAGATATGTCACAAAAGATGTGGTGTTTTTTGAGTCTCAATCCTACTTTCAGTCTTCCTCGGATCCTCTTCAGGGGGAGACTAGTAGGATGGAAGAGGACCCTCCAGTTGATTCTTCTATTCCCCATTTCTTTGTGCCCCTCTCTGCCTCGGATCTTCCATCTTCTCCTTTTGATCCTCCTAGTTGTGGTATCCCAGGTGAATCTAGTGAGGCTCCCATTGGCCCAGCTACTACTAGTGATGTGGAAAATGTTACTAAAGGCTCCAACARGCAGCAGAAAGATATCAGAGTTACCTACAATAGAAGGAAGAAGAGCCCTCCAACTCATGACAGCAACCAATTGGACTCGGATCAACCTTTCTCAGTCACTCANACTCAAGGTAATCCTATCAATTCCTCTGACTTGGATCTTCCAATTGCACTTCGTAAATCTACTCRTTCTTGTACTATCAGATACCCTATTGCGGATTTTGTGTCTTACTCACACTTGTCCCCTAGTTATTGTTCTTTTGTGTCTGCTCTCTCTTCTGTGCATCTTCCTACTAGGTACTCTGAGGCTGTGTTTGACCCAAGGTGGAAAGAGGCTATGAATGAAGAAATGAAGGCCTTGATGAAAGCAAGGACTTGGGAACTAGTAGATCTACCAGAAGGGAAAGGTACTGTTGGATGCAAGTGGGTGTTCACCGTGAAGCATAGGGAGGACGGGTCCATTGAAAGATACAAGGCTATACTCGTGGCAAAGGGGTTTACTCAAAATGAAGGAGTTGACTACAAAGAAACATTTGCTCTCGTAGCAAAACTCAACACTATCAGAGTCCTACTCTCATTAGCTGCMAACTTCTCGTGGGARMTTCATCAGCTGGATGTGAAGAATGCTTTTTTAAATGGTGATCTACATGAGGAGGTATTGATGGATCCTTCACCAGGTTATGAATTTGGCAGAAAAGTGTGTAGACTGAGAAAGGCACTATATGGACTTAAACAGTCCCCTCATGCCTGGTTTGAGAAGTTATGTGGAGCCATGAAGAAAGGTGGTTTTAACTAAAGGGTTAACCACAGTGAAATTTTTGGACTTCCTGGGCAAGCTAAACATGATTAACTTCCGTGCTTAGCTTGAGGGGGAGTGTTGGTTCGGCTGATATGTTGTTATTCTCTTGTCTCGGCTGGGTATTAGAGTCTCTAGTTAATGGGCCTTAGTAACTAGGCCTAATTGTATCTTGTGTTTTATTAGACTGGGTGTCCCATCACTAATCAAGGGCATCCTGGTCCTTTCATGTAAATTATGTATTGCTCTTATATTAGTGAACAGTGCCCATTTGAACACATCAGACTCTCCTCTCTTCTTCTTCCTCTTCTTCTTCTCAGCTCTCTCAATAGGTTCAGTTCGGAAAACAACATTTATACCCTTTCTGGGTCCTAGAGTAGCCAAGGAAGATACATTTAATGGAGCGAGCATCCAACTTGTTTAAACCAGGACCAAGATTCTGAGCAAAGCACACACACCCAAAGATTCTAGGTGTCGAGGGAAATGGAGACAAAGTAGGAAACAAGATAGAGAACGGAGAACGACCATCAAGAACGAACGTGTGCATGCGATTAATGAGAAAACAAGCAGTAAGGACTGCATCACTCCAAAACCGTTTAGGAACATTCATATGATGAAGAAGAGACTGAGTTGTTTCAAGTAGATGTCTATTCTTCCTCTCAGCTACCCCATTTTGCTGAGGAGTGTGGGCACATGAGGTCTAATGAATTATACCATGTTGTTCTAGGTATTGCTTAAAGGAAGAAAGAAAATACTCTCTACCATTGTCAGAACGAAGAATTTTAAGTGAAACGCCAAATTGTGTACACACTTCAACATGAAATTTTTGGAAAATGGAAAATAATTCATTTCTTTCTTTCATTAAAGAAAGCCATGTCATTTTAGAACAATCATCAACAAAATTACAAGATATCTGTAACCATTGTACGATTCAATTCTAATTGGACCCCAAACATCTGAATGAACTAACTCAAAATGACTCAACATAGAACTATCAACTCTAGGACTAAAGGAAACCTGGTGGTGTTTCCCATACTAACACGACTCACGCTACAAAGATGACAGACTACTCAATGATGGAATAAGAAGCTTGAGAACCTTAAGAGATGGATGGCTGAGTTTACAATGCCACTGAAGGGGACTCAAGGAGGTTAGAAGCGCACCTGTAGAGCCTCCACCATCAAGATAATACAATCCGCCAGCTTCATGCCCTCCACCAATCTTCTTCCCCGTCGTTAGATCCTTAAAAACACAAGATAAAGGGTAAAATGTGATGGAACAATTGAGAGATTTGGTTAGTTTGCTAACAGACATAAGATTAAAAGGAAATTTTGGAACATATAAGATAGAACACAAAGGTAGAGATGCAGTGGTAACATTACCAACACCGTAGATGGGGGAAGTAGATCCATTAGCAAGGGTAACATTATTTGATGTAGAGGTTGGAGAAAGGGAGGAAAACACACCTGGAGTTCCGGTCATGTGATCAGAGGCTCTAGAGTCAATTATCCAGGGTGAGGGTTTGGATGCTAGGCAAGCTATACCTGAATGAGCAAGGGTGGCAGTGTTCTGATGTGCAGTGGCCTGAAGAAATCTCTCATACTCCTCTCTGGGAATACTCATCATTTCCCTCCCTGAAGTAGTTGTGACTATAGAAGATACTGGACCAACTGGTTGAGTATCACTGACTTCACTACCACCAACAACTGCATGATTAGCTCGTGTGGATGGTGGGCCATGTAAATCATAAAAAAAATTAACTATGTGTCCTCTTCCACAGTATGTGCACTTCCTTGTTGTGCTCCCCCTTCCTCTGCCATGACCTCCCCCTGAATCACGACCTCCACCACTGGTACGACCACCCATAGGATTACTATGGCCCCCCTTAACCATATGGCCACCTCCTCTCTGCCCATAAGAACCACCTCGAGTACTAACCAGTGCTGATCTTTCTGAAGCTGTGTTACTCTCTAAGGGGATAAGAGAAATCCTATGGAGACAGGCAAACACTTCTTCTAGAGTCAGGAGAGCAGATCCTCCCAATATTTGTGCCCTGACCAGTTCATACTCTGCTTTCAGTTCCACCAAGAACCGCGTAACATCAAGTTGTTCCCTTTGTTGTTGCTGAATTTTAACGTCCAATGTTAAGGGATGATAGACATTAAGTTCATTCCAAAGATTTTTCATGCTGGCATAATATTCTTCAAGAGTCTAATTTTCCTACTACAAACTAAAGTATTCTTGATAAAGCTGATAAACCCTTGTAGTATTGTCTTGTCCCGAATAGAGTTTCTTCACATGTTCCCAAATATCCCTTGCTGTATCTAAAATCATGAAGTTAATACAGATTTTTTTGGCTCCATACTGTTCCACAACCATGTCATGATCTGAGCATCCTCTTGCTCCCAATCACTAAACCCCGGGCATTCAGCACTCAGTTTCTCCTCCCGTACATGTTTCACTTTCTTCTTGGCCTTCAGAAACACTTCCACCGACTTGGCCTACGGAACATAGTTTTCACCGTTGAGTTTGATGGATGTCATTTGTACACTTAAAAAATCAGGAGATATCATCACACTCGATTTCTGGTCACCACTTGAATCACCAACCGATGCCATAGCACTCTACGAAGCTGGTCACGAAAACAAATTCCAGCTACTGCACTACTGTCCTACTTCC